GGGAGGGGGGGGGGGCAGTATTCTATCTGGTGGCTGCCAGTTTCCAGTGGAAGCCCGTGGATACTCCAAGAACTTACCTTACAAAGCGAGGTAGCAGCTAAACGTGTTTCGTATGGTTTCTGCTTCCAACCTACAGTTTACTCATTTTTCGACCTGCAATATACTGTTTTTAAGTACTTGTATCAATTGGATACTTGGCTCCCCAAGTCACTAATTGTCACTTCATGCAGAAGTTGTTCTAGTTTGTTCGTTTTTATGTGGATGAGCTAAAATTTACTGCAATCAGAACAGAAAGAGTACCCCTATTCCCCGCTTATTCTCTTAGAGATTTTTATTTTTTACAGCAGACACTTGTGGTAAGAAATAGGAATTTAACTCTTTTATTCTGCTAACTTTTCCCAGGAGAACTACGGTATAAAAGATTCTGCCTCATCCGAGAAGGTGAAAAAGTTATACCATGAGCTCAACTTGAAGCAGGTGTACAAGAACTTCGAAGAGCAAAGTTACAAGGACATTGTAGAACTTATATCGCAGAAATCTGCCAACCTGCCTGAAGGATTGTTTCTAGAATTTGTGAAGAAAATCTACAAGCGGGATAAATGAGCAGCTTTGACCCAAACTAGAGTTAGCGTTATTGCATCTCCTAGAGATGAGGGCTTTGAATTAGTTTACAAAAACGGAAATAAAAACAAAGTTAAAATACTCAAGTTCTTATGGAAGTCTTAACTTGATAGAAATCAAAGACACGAAGAAGGGTTTTGATTCTTTAAGTTGATGCAAGTATAACCGTTCACGGCACATTTGCTTAAGTATTCCAGGTAGATCATTGTTTTCTCTTGAACGACCACCACACTGTTATTTTGACTCACAGAAATACCGGCAGAAGAAGACACGGGTGTGCTGGTAACAATTTCTTCGCTTCTCTCTTCAATCGGCTGCGGAAAATTTAGCGAGATAAACGCGCGGCTGATGTGTAATAAGACTGCCACAAAATGCAATTGCGCACGTCATATTATGAACGCGCATGCGGACGAAGAGATTTGTAATCTGAACTATACACGAAATTTGATTGGTTCTTACTCGCGGTCTGTTAGAGGACAGATGTATAAATGACGTCACGGTTAATAAAAGTTTTTACGTCTTCACTATAGAAAACAAATGTTGCCGTGAGTCTGTTCAGTAACTGATCA